AGCTGCCTCAGACTTAAGACTAAGAAGTGCAGTTTGAGGAAACTGGCGACTGCTGTGTTTGTCTTTCTGACCTAAGAATATCTTCTAAACCTTGGGCTTTTAAAGCCCGTGTTTAACTTGGCAGCCTATCACCAGCTGTTTGTTGGAACAGAGCGAATTCGAGCTCCAGAAATTATTTTCCAACCATCTCTGATTGGCGAAGAACAGGCGGGGGTAGCAGAAACCCTTCAGTACGTTCTGGACAGGTAAGCCTGCTGTGTGTGCCCGTCACTGGTCTTGTGTAGAGCGGTGGGGGTAGTGGGTGGCGGGGGGGCCTTGTGGTCATACGTGTGCTGGAGCAAGCATAGAATAGGTATGCATCAGCTCTGACATGCATTCTACGTGACAGAAGAGGAGCCCTGGTGGCATGATGGATTATGCCTTGAGGCAGCTAACCTCAAGGCCAACAGTTCAAATCCACCAGCCTCTCTGTGGGAGAAAGACGAGGTTTCTATTCCCATGAAGAGTGGCCGCCTTGTAAACCCACAGGGGCAATTCTACCCTGTCTTGTTGGGTCGCTCTGAGGCAGCCTTGACTAGATGACAGCGAGTTTAGCTTTTGAGTTTCGGAGTGTTGAGTCTTACAGAAGGCTTTTCCTCCTCCTGGCAGACAGTTTATTTATGTGTGCTGGCGTCTCAGGACCGGTGCCCCTCCCCCTACTGGCACTTATGCAGGCCTGTCCTGCAGCGCCAGTCATGGATCCTGACCTAGAGCCTGTAGGCTGGCGCTGCAGTGCACCTGGCAGGAAGAGAGCCGCCACCATGGCCTTGTGAGCTTTGTCCTGTCGTGCGTGGGAACGGGATCGCACGTGCCTCAGACACAGCTGCGGGAGCCAGCTGCTCGGGGGAAGGAAGGGTCTTGGATGGTGAAAATGTGCATCTTGGGGGTGGGGTGGGGGGATATGCTTACTGAAGAGGACGTCAAACTTCACCCACGTGTGTAAAGTAATCTCCCAAAGAAGTTGACTTTAAACCCAACAGGACTTACATAAGAAAGGCTCAGAAGTTCTGGTCACATTATGGAAAGGAGTTGAAGGTTCAGATGTAGGTTTTGGACTAGATATCTGGTGCCCCTTGGCTGGCACTTTGTGAAGGAAAACGGGAAGCATTGTTTTTTGCTGTTTTAACCTTTTGTATAGATTCAAGGTGTGGGGACTAGGTGAGGAAGACTCTGCTCCTCTGCTAGGTACCCCAAGGACGTGCAGGAGACGCTGGTCCAGAACGTGTTCCTGACCGGCGGGAACATGATGTACCCTGGGATGAAAGCCAGGATCGAGAAGGAACTGTTGGCAATGAGGCCCTTCCAGTCCTCGTTTCAGGTACCGAGTGTGGGTCGGCCCTAACGTGGCCATGACAGCGGCATTGTGTCCTAGGCGTGTTGGCCGTTCGTCGGGTCGGTGGTGGATGCTCCTCCACGTCCAAAATACTCTTGTTCAGAGTGACGGTCTAGTCTTCCACTGTGAACGTACGGCAGAACGTTCCATTTTCCTTTCATGACCCTTGGAAGCCCCGCTGACCCTCTGGTGCTCTCCTAAGTGCTTATGGTAGTGACCATGCTTGCTTACCTGGCCACAGGCAGTGTCCCCGCACCTGGCCTTCCTCTCCCTGACCTCCTGAGACGTAGCCAGGGGCTCTTCGTGTTGGTGGGAAACGATCCCCAGAGAGGGAGAGTCAGGCTCTCAGGAGTCACAATTGTGGGAGCCTGCACCTTCGGCCCCTTTCTTCTCCATCTGTGCACGCCAGTCCTCCCTCGGGGCCTGCACAGGCCACTGCTCCCACCTGGAACGCCCAGGCTTGGTGGAGAAAGGGAAGAAGCCGTTGTGAGCCACAGAAAGAGTAGTCATCCCAGCCTAGTTGGGGAGTGGTCAGACCTGCTGGCCCCCAGCCCCTCTTGGGTAAATGAAGAATGTAAACTGGGCAGCGTCACAGAGAACTGCCCCCTCCCCCTTCAGTGGTGCTTTTGCCACCGTAGCTGCCAGGCGTTGAGCAGCTGCACTGCCTCGTCCTGTGCCCAGCTTCTGCCCCTGCCCCCTCTCTGCCGGACAGCTTGTAGTTGACACAGCGTGGCAAGAAGACTGGGCAGTTGGTCATGCGTCCAGCCCAAGTGGCAGGTTGTTTTCGTGTTTATAAGATGTCTGATGACCTGTTATTCCGTGAGGCCACTGCTGGTGACCTTGACATTCTGGTGGTATTTTGGCTCAGCGGTGCAGTCCTGTGCTGCCCGGGTGGGTGCAAGGGGCCCCCTCTGGGTATAGTTTTGGGGGATAGGCTGTAAAGGGTGTCACTTGGAGCCCCTAGTGGGTGTTCTCTTCACGTTGCAGGTTCAGCTAGCCTCCAGCCCCGTGCTGGATGCCTGGTACGGAGCCCGAGACTGGGCCCTGGACCACCTGGACAACGACGAGGTCTGGGTCACCAGGAAGGAATACGAAGAAAAGGGCGGAGAGTACCTCAAGGAGCACCGCGCCTCCAACATCTACGTCCCCATTCGCCTGCCCAAGCAGGCCGCCAGCAAGGGCCCCGGGGCCGGCGGAGGGGGGCCCGGGGAGCACGGTTAGCCAGAGAGACTGCCCACAGAGGGCGTCTCTGCCAGAGTGGTGACAACAGTTGGCTGTGAAACGGATTTCTCCTGGGGAGGACAGCGCAGGCTCCAGGGAGTCACTGTTAGAATTGTGTTCCCTGTTAGAATTTTCTGCTCCGGGGAGGCGGTCGGTGGCTTTATGGCTTTCCAGTGGCTCCCACACAGACGGCCAGCACCCACAGGACTTGTTTGCTGCATTTCAGAGCCTTTTCCCCCTAAGGTTTATGTTGTCAGTGTATATGTTACTCAGAAATGTGTGAAAGCCACGCAGGGGAGGCCTCTCATCTGCCCAGAGAGGCAATGCTTATGTAATAAAAGCAGTCGCCCTTGGGCTCTGTCCTCTTACTGTTTTCAGTCCAAGTAAAGATAAAAGGTCCTAACCTGTACACGCTGATATTGGGGACTGCCCGGCGCCCACGTCTGAATGGCAGAAGTGGGACGAGCTGCCTCATTCGTGCTCAGACTGTTGCTGGAAACGTGTCCGCTGCAGGAGACCTTCCTGCACATTTTGCGTACCCGTGAGTTTGCTGCTCTTGTTTGTTAATTTTTGTTCAGGCCTGCAGATGGCAGTGGCTTATTTAATGTGGCTTTTTCTCCAGTGCCCACCAAACAACTTTTCCCTGCGTGGGTCTGGTAAGAAGGTGGAGGGAGATATACTGAGAGGATTCACCTGTGAATGATTGTGACAGAGTTCCCTGCACTGCCTTTCTGGTATGTACCAAAAAGAGCCCTCTGAGGAGCAGGAGGAGGGAGCTCATGACCAGCCTGAGCCTGGAGTGGAACGTGCCCTCTGGACCCTCGATCCCGGATCCAGAAGACAGCTATACCATCAGAGGAGCAGCAGCAGAACCAGGAGCCAGAGTGCAGGACATGTGATGGACTTCCCAACCCACAGAGCAAGTAAAGCTGAGTGCTTTAGTGCGGGAGGCTGGCTGTGGCGTGGGTGCCTCTGGGCACTTATTGGAGAAGCTGGGCTGGCTGATCCACGGCAGTGGAGCTGAGTGCCTCTGGCCTGAGGCTCACTGGATCGGGGTGTCTCTGGGCACTTAATTCAGGAAGCAGGGTTTTCTGACTCAAGGAATTTAACCTGAATGGCTTCAGGTTCAGACTTTGTTCTGGAGTGGTATGCCTCTGGGGGCATTTATTAGCAAACTTGACCGAACTTTGTAACATTTCTTGACAGCTGAACTCTGAGCATTACTTGTTCACGTCCTGAATAAACCCTTCACCATGACTGTTTGTGAGATCTGTGTGTCCCGCACAGTGGGTATCAGACCCCAGAGAGATGGAGTGGAGGTAAAACAGAGAACATTAAGACACTACAGGCTTTTGAAGACAGAGGCAGGAGAAAAGTTAGCCACACAGCCTTTTCAGTTTTGTTTTAACATCATGCCCCGCCACCCTCACAGCTTCCTCTCAAATGGACAGAAAGCCCTTTCTTCCTTAGAGATTGCTTGGTGAGACTTTTCCCTCTGCAACACACCCACAACTGAACCCAGAAGACCCCACAGGTGCTGACTTCATACCACAGAGCCCACATGTGTAAGCCCGTGGGGTCTCCTGCCTACCTCTCTGATGAGGCCGCCCCAGAACTTGGCCAAGGGGGGTCATCTGTATCTCCCATTCTCAAGAGCTTGGAAACTGCAAGTGAGGAAGGGGCAGTGGTGGAGGAGGTAGAAGAGCCACGGGAACATAGACTGCTGAAGGGTTTGCACAGTGAACCGCTGACTGTTCTGGGCTGGGCCCCAAACCAATGAGAACGGCCATAGGCCCGAGCTTTTAAGAAAGGGTAGGTGTGAAGGAGGAAGCAGGGCCAACCTCCATGTGCAGAAGTTTACACATCACAGCTAAGGAAGTGGAACATTGCACCCTGCTGCCATAGAGGCCTGGCTACCTTTCTCCCACAGTCAGCACATCAGATTGCCTGAACAGGAGGGGCTGTGCAGAGGAGGTCAGAACACTGCCAAGGTGATCAGCTCCTTCACAGTCTGCTGCAGGCCGATGAGGTGTAACCAGGACGGACTCTGCCCAGGGTGGGCAGGTAAGGCAGGAAACTGACCAAGCAAGCTTGAAGCTAGACCTACTTGTAGTCCTCTGTGGGCTGGAAACGGAGGAGGTGGTTTGGGGCTGTGACCAGAAATGGCTTGAAGGCCCGAGCCTTGGGTTCTTGTGTTTCACCTTTCATCCCTCACGTGAAGCATGGCATGCTCTTGGCATGCTTGGTTCTCCTTAGGGAGCCCTACCCACCCTTCTTTGGGCCACTGGACAGGCATTTGCTTCTCTCAGGCCCAGCACAAAACTGCCAGCAGTGCACTTACCACGATACTTTGGGCTTAGAGCCCTGAGATGGTCTGGCTCTTCTAAATGTGCCATGTACGGCAAGAGCAGGAAATGTGTCTCATTCCATGTCAGGACCCCAGGGCCCACTTTGGAAGGTGCCAACAGCTCCCGGGGTTTTGAATGAATACTGTCCAATCGATGGGTGTGTGAACGACTACATCTGAGCACAGAGAATTAGAGGTAACCCGCTCTGTTGAGAGGAACAAATCTGGAGTCCCCCAGCTGTGGGGCCCTGCTCAGACTTCCTGAAGGGCCTCTGACCCTGCCACAAATGCAGAAAGCAAGGTTGGGTAAAGTCTAAGGGAAACAGATTGTAATTCTCAGTCTCCCACTCAGCTCTGGGCAGCCAGGGCAGCCCTAAGACTTCCTAGCAAATCTTGGGCCTAGGGGCCTGTGTCCACAGTTTTGCCCTTCTGTCTGCCTGTCACTAGTTGGTCAGATGTTCAGAGCCTCACCTTCTGTGACAGCTGCCCCGTGTGGGTCTCCCACCCTGGAGCGCCAGAGCGCAGAGGCCCTGGGACACTCCAGGAGCAGACTGACCCACTCACAACTATTTCTCTGGTTCTTCCTCTTCTTCCATGATCTTCCCTCTCATTGTGCAGTTCAGCTCATGTCATGTGTGTTAATTGCATGCCAGGCACTCTTGTCTCCGCCCCTGCCCCCTCCGCTCCTCCTCCCCTGGGCAGGACTGAGGGAGCCCCATGGGATGAGGACCACCCAGAGGTGCAGGAGCACAGCTTTGGACCCAAGTCAGGATGGAGTCTGCTGGAGGGCGAGCCAGCCTGAGTGTGGGCTCTCTGCTGTCAGGTGGGCCCCTAGGAGGCCTTCAGGGTTGTAGCCGCCCTAGATCCAGCAGAACCAGCTGGCACCCATGAAGGTTTGTCCCCAGGAGAGCACCCTGTCCACCCTGGAGGACGCAGCACTGACAGCGCAGGTGTTGAAGGCACTAGACGAGTGCTGCACAGGATGGGGGCTGCCAGCCTCCCAAAGGCACCGCTTTTAGGGGAGAAGGAGGTACCCAGGAGCCAGAGGAGGTGGAATGGGAGCAAGGAAGGGCTGGGGCTGGTCTCCAGACAAACGTGAGCAGCCCAGAGGAAGCCTGACCACAAAAGGGGGCCCTCTACCCTCCATGGTGGGACTGGAGAGCTGTGAAGACCACCCAAACCCTCCTGCACACAGCCTGCGGGTGATGTGACAGACTACCGACAGGCCAGGTGACCGGCCTCCCCAGGGTCACGGCCTTGGAAACCCTGCAGAGCAGTGCTCTGCACACGGTGGCAGTTCTTTGCTGTTCCGGGCCATCGAGTCAGTTCCGACTCATCGCAACCCTGTCCGTGCACAACAGAACGAACCCCGGCCCGGTCCTGCGCCGTCCTCCCGTTCTGTCTGAGCCCATGGCTGCAGCCCCTGTGTCAGCCCATCTGCCCGAGGGCCTTCCCCTCGCTCTTGTGCCCCTCCACTTTTGCCAAGTGGGCCGCCCTTCGCTAGAGACATGTAAGGCCAAGTAGGTAAGGCAAAGTCTTGCCATCCTTGCTTCTCAAGAGCACTCTGGCCATACTTCTCCCAGGTCAGATGGGTTGGTCCTTTTAGCAGTTCATGGTACTGGTAATATCCCCCCACAGAGGGCCATGTAAGTCAGAAGCCACTACATGGCTGCTCACAGCCCCAGCGGAATTGGTTTGGGTAAATCTGATGGGCTCAAATAGGAGCAACAGCCGAGCAAAACTGCAACATTGTTACAGGCAGAGTGTGGGAATGACCAGAAAGGTCATATGAAAACTTTTGGGCAGACCAAACACTCCAAAAGAAAAGAAAAGTCATCACAACACAAGAAAACTGCGACGCAACCTTCCAGCTGTCATGGGAAGGCTTCGGATAAGCACAGGCAGGTGGGAGTGGACACCATAAAAATAAAAGAACCGTCAGAAACCTCAGTTCTCAAGCATACAAGCCACCAACCAGACCAGACACTGCGAAGGGCGACCATGTGCCCGGAGATGGGCGCAGACCTCTCTGATCTGAGTCCAATGATGAGGCATTCACGACGGAGAAAAGAAAGCCTCTGGTGTCCGGGCTACACGCAACCCTAGAAATCGGACCAAAGAAATGGAATGGTGAGAGGCTAAGGAATGGCAACGTTGGTCAATTAAAAAACAAAAGCTAAAATAAGAATAGAGAAAGCATAGCCTCCTAAAGAATAAGACAGTCACTCAGCCAGGAGGAATTTAGAAATTCATTCCTATTTTGCACAAATCTGTGAGGATACCAGAAAAATCAATATGAACCTGTTTCCTAGGCAAGCAATTCACTGAAACTGCCCTTGAGTTTACACCGATTCAGAGCAGTCCTGTGGGATACAATAGAACCACGCCACTGGGTGTGTGCAACCACATCATTTCGGGAGCAGACAGCCTCCTCTTAGAGCAGCTGCTGGGTTTGAACCACCTTTCTGACCTTGCAGTTAGCAGCCCTGATTTGAAGGGCCATCAGGGCTCCAAGCTGACCCTGATATTATAAGGCCAAACAGACCTATTTCCTTACGAGAACAAAAGGCAGTTGCCACAGAGGTACGCCCTTCCCTCTAGCTGGAACAAAGAAAAAGGGCACTGTTGGGATCGCAGGATTCTATTAGCCTTTAAAGACTCGGGAAACCACACTCACCACCATGGAGCAGATTCTGACTCACAGCGACTCTAGGACAGGGTAGAACTGCTCCTGTGGGTTTCTAAGACTGCACCTCTGTACGGGCAAAAGCTTTGTCTTTATGGGACTAGAAAAGGCCTTGTCTGTCTCTTGTGGATCGGTTGGTGGCTTCAAACTGCTGACCTTGCGGTTAGCAGCCAATTCACAACCGACTTTAAAGAAGAACTTAAGAAAGAGCTTGTGGAGCCTTTCCTGAGCATAGTAAAGAAATCATCTCAATTATTTTTAGGCAGTGTGTTTTAACATCGATATCAAAATCTGATAAATTGTGTAACACACACACACAGAGCCACAAACCAATCTGACTTAAAACATCCATGATGAATGAGTCCAGCTATCTTCTGCTGCTGGCGAGCTGGAAGCCTGGAGGTTGTGTGGGTCTGATGGGCACTCGCCAGCCTGGACCTGCTTCCTGCAACTCAGACTCCTCCCTGGGAGAAGAGGTTTTCCCTGCCTTCATTCCCCACTTTCAGTGTTGTTCGGCCTGTAAGGCTTTGCAGTGGCCTGGTAATGTCATGTGACGATTTCTAAGCAAGGACCTTCCCAGAGTCAGGACAAAGCCTTTTTGTTGACAGTGACTTCTCTGCCTCTGTCAGCCATTCCTGTAGCCCTCCTGAAAAGGTGCCATCAGAAGGTGTTCTGAAACCCCCCACCCACAAGGGAAGGGATGACCTGCCCTCTTTCCCCCCCATCTTTTTTTTTTTTAATTTTATTTGCTGTTAAGAATATTCACAGCAATACAGACACCAAGCCAAGAGGTTCTTTACAGCTTTGTCCACGTTCTAGGCCTGACAAATAGGCCAGACCTCTAGCAATAATTCTCTTGGGAAACTCTGGGAAGTTTGGGGGATATGCAGGCCCCACCCAGTGAATCCTAGCCTGCCGACTGCTGTGTTACCTGTAGGAGGTAGGAGACTAGAGCCTTTGGTGCCACCTAGTGACCCTGGGCTGCATCAAGATGAAGAAACAGCGAGGAGCTGATGCCAAGGGCTCAAGTAGAAAGCAACTGTTTTGAGGAGGATGATGGCAACAAATGTGCACATGTGCTTGACACAATGGATGTATGTATGGATTGTGATAAAAGTTTGTATGAGCCCCCAATAAAATGATTTTTTTAAGATGAAAAAACAGTGCCAAGGAGTTGATTCTGATGCTGATTCATAGTGACTCTATAGGACAGGTTAGAACTGT